TGTGAGGATACTTACATTTTCATGCTCTTGTCCCCTTGTGGCACTCTCCAATACTCCAATGGATATGAGATCTCACTGAGGTGGGTAGTCCCTTCCCCAGTGTATAAGCCTCAACCCATTTATTTCTGCCCATTCCTGCATGACTCTTGTCCATATCCTCCCATAAACCCACCATAGGGTATCAGCTTGACATAGGATTTCCTCTCATATGGGAATCTAGATCATTTGGGGGCATATTTTTTAAAATTAAAAAAGTTTCCTTTTCCTTATTAGATTCCTGTTTCTGTCCTTATTGTCTATCACAAGAGTCTGTTAAAAAATAAAAAAAAAATGCTACCCTACCCCCCCAAAAAAGAATAACATCCAAAAATGAATGTGCATGCTAGGGGCATAACTCAAAGAGAATGGAGCATCATGTCCTTGACAAAAGAAGTGTTTGGGCAGTTGCTGCATAGCTAACTTGGATTTGAGACCAGCTTCACATAATAGATTATTTTGTTTTCTGAATTTCCATGAATATTTATGATGGAATTCAATCAAATCTCATTTCTCCTGTGACTCTCAAATTGTACAAACTTCTGACTGACTCAGGCAGCAGAAAAGAAAACACTACAGTGAAGTAAGAAGCCATTGTCCTTTTTCTTCAACTTGAAAGAGTCTGCCCCTACACAGATGAGGGAAATGGTACTTTCCATGGAATGGTGGCAGGTTTCAACATGTTATCAATTTCCTAGTCATCTCCACCTTTCCTGTGCATTTAGGGATAAGGAAAATTCAGAAAACACTTGTTGCATCCTTTTTCTGTTCATCCTGTTTTCTGTTCTATTTCTTTCTTTCTCACCTACATGTTTTTACTCAATCAGCAAAAAAGACTCATAACTATACCCTTACTCATCCTTGTTTCCCTCTCCTATATGGAACCACCTGCAAATACTTTAGCTAGATTATTCAATGGCCCTCTTAGTAGGTGGCAGGAAGAACCCAACCTTGATAAACCACTAAGAAAACAAAGACATGTCATCATCCACTTGGGCCTCCTTGTCTTCTCTATTTAGCCTAGGAACCAGAGGAAATTTCTCCAAATTCTCATTGCTCAACTTTTTAATTCTTATCATATGCAGACATCTGATCATGTACATCCTGTACATGAAACATTTACTGGTCATTGGTATATTTTAAGTTGTCACAAGTGAATAATCCCAAATTCAAATAAAAATAGGGAAGTTCCGTACCAACAATGGAAAGAATATCGACCGCATGTTAGGGGAAGCAAGAAGGAACTTGAACCCAGTGGAAATGGTTAACCCCTTCTTGACAGATCTGACCAGAGACAAAAGAAAGACTGACTTTCAAGGTTCCATATCAGGAAAAAAAGAAAGAAAGAAAACTTAATAAGTAAGCTTAGTTTAGTAAGAATAACTTCTATTACCTCCTTCCATTATCACAATTTGTAGGCCCTATAACCCTGTCTATTTTTAGTCAATTGCAAGGTGAATGGAATTCTCCTTTGAACCATCTATTTCCCAGAATTTCCTTTTGTTCTTCCCTTCTCCTCTCCCTCTGTCTAAAGCTATGATTTAAAATGGGGACACCTCTTCCCCAGAGCCTCATCCTGAATTCTTAAATAAACCTCTGTGTCACACATTACATTTTCCATTTTGTGATGCTCTGTGTTACCTGCTTGTTGTGGACATTTAAAACACACACAGAGCATAATAGTATTTCTTTGATTTAAACTACATAATGTCCCCCACGTTGTTGATGGTGAATTTGTAAGGAAAGACGGACTATAACAAAAATTCTCTTTGATACAATCAAGTCAGTGTTTTATTCAAATAATAGAAACTTCAGACAGAATCACTTAACCAGCAAGATCAAATCAAATAAGAGGAATATAAAGAAATTTCTTTATTTCTTCAGGATTTTTTCAGTTGTAGTGTATAACTAGAAACCAACAAACAGATCTATTGTCGATTATTTTGCTCTTTTTATCTATTGTGAATAAAATATTAAGGTCATCTCTTTACCTTATGGGAAAAAATACTTAGTAGATAAAAATGTAACTTGTATAGAGTTGCTTGTAAATCTTTATACTTATTTGTCTTTTAGTATTGCATTGCATTGCTGTGTAGCTTGCAAACCAGATTATAATATGGCTCTAGGTGTGGTTAGTCTCTTCTGCAAATCATATCCTTCCAGCCAGTATATTGTTAGCCTCTTTTTATGTGCCCAAATCATAAATATCCTAGCCTAGTCCTTTAGATCAGAGAAGTTCTGCATTGATTTTATAACAATCTTCGATGTAAACCAGTTATGGAATAAAGTGTCTGTTGCACTGCAAAAAAATTAAAAAAAATAAAGTTCCAAATGTGAAATTTCATCATGATTACATATTTATATATCTTTTTGCACCCATATGCTGAGCTTGCTGAGATTAATAAAAGGCAGAAAAGTAGAATATAGAGCAAACTGACCTAAAAGTGAATTGCTTGAGGGAAAATAGGTACATTAATGAATTGTTGGTGGAGTAGTGAATTGGTCCCACCATTCTTTAGAACAATCTGCCCAAAGGGCTATAAAACTGTGCATACCCTTTGATCCAGCAATACTACTGCTGGGTTTGTATCCCAGAGACAACAAGGAAAAAGGAAAAGGATCTATGGGTACAAAAATATTTATAGCAGCTCTTTATTGTGGTGGCAAAGAATTGGAAATTGAGGGGATGCCCATCAAGTGGAGAACGGCTGAACAAGTTATGGCATGTGATTGTGTTATAATACTGTTGGTATAAGAAATGACACAGGGAGTGGTTCCAGAAAAACATGACCAGATCTATATGAACAGATGCAAAGTGAAGTGAGAACTGGGAGATAGATCATTGTGCAAAGTAATAGCAATGTTGTTATGATGATCAACTGTGAAATACTTGACTGCTTTGATCAGTACAATGATCCAAGGCAATTCCAAAGGACTCATGATGAAAACTTGCTATCCACCTCCAGAGAAAGAACTTGTGAACTCTGAATGCAAATTAAAGTATAATTTTCTCACTTTCTCTATTTTCCCCTTTTTGTGATATGGCTAATCTGGAAATATATTTTGCATGATTTCACATGTTTAACTGATATCATATTGTTTGTCTTCTCAACGAGTAGTGGAGTTGTGGAAGGTAGAGAGAAGATCTGGAACTCAAAATTTAAAAATAAAAGAATGTTAAAAGTAAATAAATATTAATTTAAAAAAAAGAAAGTGAATTGCTGGAGGAACTTTATTAAATGAATACAAAATAGTGACCATAAGTGATTGCATTTTGAAGGAAAGAGTCAACATATTTTGCTTGGAGAATTGACTTCAGATATTCTAAAGGATTGCTCCAGTAGCGTGAATAGAGTTATAACATACTGTTTATTTAAAGAGCAATTTACTACTGCTAACGTCTCAGCAACTAAACAGTATAAACTTGAGTCTAAGAAGTGCTGTGGAAGAATAACAGCTGAGGTTTCTCACCCCTTTATTCCCAGAGAACACAGGGGCCTTTGGTGTGAATGGAGATCACGCAATTCTTGACTCTCTTGTGTATGCCCTAAGCTAAAATGGAGAGAATAAATCATTTTATAGAGTCAAAATAAGATGAAATGTTTATCAAATGTAACTGTCTGTAACCATAAAACTTGTGTCTATATTTTATACACATTTCTCCCTTTTTGGATTATGCACACAAGTTGTTCCTCTATAGTAATCTTTCTGAATAAATTGTTATATATTTCAAAATGGTTTAGGATTCCTCTATAACTAAACTATTTGTTTGAATTGATTGACCCACAATAATTAAGGAATGTCAGTGTTTTGTTTCAGAAGAAAACTAATTGGGCTTCTTGTCATATCTGATACACATTTGGAGCAATTTCTTTACTTCTACTTCCATTTCTTATGTTACGAATAGTCACTCGGTCATCATGTGCATCCCCTTTCAGTAGACATCAACATCATTAGTTATGCTTTCCTAGTTAAACATTATAACTCCCATTAACTCTTATTTATTATAGAGTATTATGGAAACCACAGGCCCTAGGAGAGATGGCATGGTTAACAAATATCCTTTCTAGTAAGTGATAATTGGAATGATTAAAAAAAATGCAAAAAACCCATTTTAATAAGTATTTATTAAGTGTTTACTGCATTCAAGACACTTTGCTGGGTGCTAGGAATATGTGTAAATGGCACCCGTGTTTCCTTTTTTGTCTTGAAATGTTAAGAGGATCATCATATTTTCTAAGGTCCATTGAAGGCAGGTCCTATGTGTTATCTAAACTTTGTATCTCCTCCACTAAATCTTGTACTTGACAGTACAGCAGATGTGTATTAAGTATTTTTGACTAAATGGATTAGTACATTTTCCTCCTACAGAAATATACAAAAAGGGATCTTACATTTTCCTAGGTATTGAAATGAGGGTCCAATTTAGATGGATTGCATTATTCAGCTTCAAACAAGACCTCTAATCCTTGACTAGGCTAAGCATCCTGGTTGCTATGGCAGAGGAAATGAATGAAAGGCAAGAGAAGAGCAGAGAGAGGGAGATTAGTGAGAATGGATGAGAGCCTTGAGCAAATGAATCACTAGTATCAGAATTAGTAACTTAAATGAAATGCTTTACCAATAATGAGTAAATAGCATCATGTAGGTGTAACTGTGCTGTAAAGTGTTATGATGATAGTTATGATGACAATGCTGATACAGTCATCCATTCACTTGAATTCTTTTGTTGTTTCAACATGATAAAATTCAAGAAGTACTGAATACCAGACAGAACCGATAGAACTGTTTAAGTTCTTCATAATGATGCATAGCTCAGAGATGGTATGTAGTTACAGAAATGTATACAGTGTCTCTAACCTTATTCTCACAGGATACTGAAGAATAAATAATAAACATTGATTTAATATTTTAATTCCCTTTCCTTCTCCCTCTTCCTGCTTCCCCTCCACTCCGCTGCCCAGATCCTGATGAGTTTGAAAGAATATATGAGCCATTGGATGTCAAAAGTAAAAAGATCCATGTGGTTGATAGCGGGCTCACATTTAACCTACCATATCCTCTGATCTTGAGACCTCAAAGAGGTGTGGATCTCATCATCTCCTTTGACTTTTCTGCAAGACCAAGTGACTCCAGTCCTCCTTTTAAGGTGAGCTCATTTCTGCTGCTTTCAAAAATGGTAGTAATGCTTTATGTTTCTGTAGGTCTTTACAGTTTTCAAAACATTTCCACTCTCTCATCTGGCGGAGCTAGCAACCTTCCGAGGCACACTATTAAGTACACTTTACAGATGAGAAGACTGAGGCTCCAGGAATTGGCCAAGGTCACATGGTTAGTAACCGGCAGAAGCAAGACTAGAATCAAGACTTTCTGTTATTCTCTCCAGTAAGCTATATAGTCTCCTTTACAACTCTTGTATCTTCCCTAATCATGCTGGCTGTTGTGAAAGTTCCAAGAAAATGATATCATGATCTTATCCTATCCCCAAAGACCATAAACTGTGTTTGGGGAGCAGACTTATACACAAGAAACACTTAGAAGAAGAAACAAAACAAAAACCCTCCAAGACTAGCTACTAAGTGACTTCTAACAGTTTCTCTTCTGGCTCTAATTTAAAGTGTGAAATTGGGTCCTGGCTATAGATGATCAAAAGAGGAATAGATGATCTATATGAACATGAACAATTGGGAAAACTGTGGATGGAGAAGGTGGATGGAGAATGAGTTGATGATTAAATAAATCACCATATCATAGCAAATATTCATTTTAAGTAGATTTATCTTATGTCTAGAGGCAGAATCCTAAAGAGCAATGAAAAAAGTATATTTTTCTTACAAACAACTAATTCCAGTTGTATCTTGTTGCCCTCTCCAAGCTTTGGTGAATGTCAACCGATGAACAATATTTATTAAGCACTGATTCCATGTAAAATAACATACTAAGTACTGTCCATGGGCAACCGGTGACAGGGGATGGGAGAGGTAGAGAAAAAGAGGGTGTGTAAAAATAGAAAGAAAACATAATACTATGAAATAATGGTGCTTAAAAATGTTTGTTGTATTTGAATTTGCTGAATTACAAAGATATATGGTATGAGAAATAGTCTCTTCCCTCAAAGATCTGCCAATCATGTTGAGGAGAAAAGGTCAAAGTCTGGTGTTATTCTGCATTCCATAATGGCTCTGTCTGAATTGGTTAACTTTAAACTTTAAAAAAAAAGTATCTAAAGTTCATTTTTCCCATCTCAAAGTTCATGTCTCCTCTAACTATAGCTCTGCCAATATTTTCTTCATTTGAGAGAAGAAATAGATCTCTTTGGCTGTAGTGTACTATATTCCCTTACTTCCTGAATGCCCTTATCATCTGGCAGGTACCACTGTCTCAAGTCTCTCCCCATTCCCTTCCATCCTCCACCCAACTGCCAAAATAATTTTTTTT